TTACTAGCAGGGCTTGTCGCTCCCGCAGGAGGTCTTTAAAAAGGCCATTTTGATGTAAGCTTTTCCTTTGTCCACACCAATGCCCAGGTTCATCAACGCCAGAAGACGAATTCTCCAGCCGATGTTGGATTCTAGTTGTTCAGAAACTCCAAAAACAAAGAAAAAAACTGCTCAGAACAGACCGGTTCAGAGGTTCTGGCCTGACTCCATTGCGTCCGGAGCTGCACAGCCACCACCGAATGAACTCACCATGTCGGAAGGTACGGACGGCGGCCATGGGGCCAGGGCCGCAGGCTCAGGGGCAGAGGGCAGAGGGTGGTGAGCCGTGAGGGTGAGGGGCCTCGCTGACCATTGCTGCCTGTGAGCTCTAGGGCACGGGAACGCAAGTGTATCCCGTTGTCTGTTCTTGCATTGACACGTGAGGAGGGCGCTGTCTGCAGAAGCTCCCCTGAGTGCTTGTCAGGGGGTGCAGAGGTGTTGAGGGTGCAGCACTGGGGACGGAGAAGACACACGCAGTGTGGTGTGAAATGTCGCCTCCGTCTGGAGACGCAGCTCCACAGCGTGTTCTGTCCCGTTTCCTTTACGTCTTTCTTCTCCCTCGGGCTTTGGCTCCCAGGGTGGAGTTGCCGTGTTCTCGCCACCTGGCCTCCGTGCCGTTTCACCCCTTGTGGTCCCTGTGGCCCTTGTCTGGCTTTGCTCGTTCCCCTTGACCCTGTCCCCTCTGCCCTCATCAGCACCCTTCTCACGTGTGTGTGAGCATCTTTCTGTTTGCTTGAGCTCTCCAACTCTTGGATGGTCTTGTGTGCGTGTGTTTTTAAATGTATATAAATGGTCTTATTATTTCCTTCTTCCTTTTTTTCACTCAGCAGCATAGTGTTATGAGGTTAGGAGACTTGGGGGCTGTTATTTCTTCAAATATATTCCCTGCCCACCCGCCCCTTCAGGGACTCTGGTTGCTCACCTTAGGTCGTTAAAAGTCACACGGTTACTGATGCTCTGTCTTCCTTTCTTTTTGGATTCTTCTTCTCTGTTTCGTTTGGCTAGTGTCTGTTTCTGTCCTTCAGGTTCACCAGTCTTTCCTTCTGCGATGTTTGATCTCCCACTAATCCCATCCAGGATGCTTTTCCTATTAGACATTGTAGTTTTCATCTCTAGAAGCTCCACGTGAGTCTGTCTTATCTTTCATGGGTCTATTTGAGTTTTTAACACAGAAAACAGTTGCAGTAAGTGTTTTGATGTCCTCCTCTACTGATTCCAACCCCGGGCAGTTCTGGGTCCGTTTCCGTCAACTGCCTTTTCTCCTCACTATGGGTTGTTCTCCTGCCTGTTGTCACGCCTGGTCATGTTTCACTGGATGTGGACATTGTGGGTTTTGCCTTGTTGGGGTGGGTGTTTTTGTATTGGAGCTCTGTTCCAGCAGTTAGGTTACCCGAGACGGTCTGATCCTCTTGTGCCTTCCTTCTGAGATTGGTCCTTGTTCAGTGGTGCCCACAGTGCTCAGTCCGGGCTGATTATCCCCCACAACCGTGCTCCCCCCTGTGCCCCACGCATTTGAGGTGTTTCCGGTCTGGTGCTGTGAGCTCTGGGCACGGTGCTCTCTGATCTCTTCAGTGGTTCTTTCCCCAGCCTCCATCGTTTCCTGCATGCCCATGCTGGTCCATCGTCTGCCCAGTGCTCAAGGCATTCCACAGCCTCGCTGGCCCCGGGATTGGGATGGGCCCTCACGGTGGGCTGTAAATCACGCTTATCTTGTTTCCATTTAACCTCTCTTGAGTGGTGGTATATGCATTTTAAGCTTTGGCTTCATCATTTTGTTTTGATATACAGTGGTCTTCCATTCATATTTAAATAATTTATATTTTCAGTTTTTGTTTTCTCTCTCTCTCTCTTTTTTTTTTTTTGTGAGGAAGATCGGCCCTGAGCTAACATCTGCCAATCCTCCTCTTTTTGCTGAGGAAGACCGGCCCTGGGCTAACATCCATGCCCATCTTCCTCCACTTTATATGGGACACTGCTACAGCATGGCTTGACAAGTGGTTTGTTGGTGTGCGCCCGGGGTCCGAACTGGAGAACCCCGGGCCACTGAAGCGGAGCGCGCGCACCTAACCGCCTGCGCCACCGGGCCGGCCCTGTTTTCTCTTTTAATCTAAGAATTAGTTAAGAAGGTATTATTTCTCTCTCTCTTTCTCCCTCCCCGTTTGGAAAGGCAATACCTATCTACTGGGGAAGCAGTTCCAACAAGACTGTCCAGTGAAAACTGAATCTTTCCTCCATCTGGTATCTGCTCTTGTCCAGAGACAATCCTTGTTACCAGTTTCCTGTACGCGCTCCCAGTGTGTGTATGAAATGGTACTCTGCATAGACAAGAATGAATGATCTTTAAACTTTCTGCCAGTACTAACATACCATGTCATACTGTCTCCTCTTGCTCTCTTCACTTGTTGGTGCACCTGGAGATTTTACAGGTGAGCACATGCGATCTGCTGGGTCGTGTTTCACAGTGGCAGAGCATTCCACGGCTCAGCATCTCTCCTCCGTGCCCAATCCTGGGCACTTGGGTCATGTCCACTCCTCTGCTGGGGGCTGGAACACGGGCAGGGATCGCACATCACAGGTTTTCTTTCTTCTTCCGTTTCAGACTTTCCTTTCAGGTCTTTCCTGACTTATTCTCCGTTTTCTGTTTCCCCATTTGGCTTTGTCCTGTCGGCCTTTCTCCTTTGCCCTTTGGTTTCTTGTTCTCCCGTGGCACTTGCTGTCTGCCCTGGGCATCTGGGTTCTTTATAGTCCTGACCCCTGGAGACCTGCTGTAGCCCGAGGGCTTATTACTAAGCAAGGTCGAGGCCAATTCTAGAGGCAGTTTCCTGCATCCCTGTTGAGCATCCCAGAAACAGACAAGGGTCTTAACTCGAGGTCACATAAGCAGACAGCACCCAGCTGAGTAATAAATGTTCTCCTCTGCGAGCGCTAATTTGAATAGTGACAACCTGAGTTCTGCCGTCCACAGGAGCTGTTGTGACGATCACCACACCTGTGAGCATGAATGTGGACAGCCTCCAGTCTCTGTCCTCGGACGGGGCCACCCTGGCGGTGCAGCAGGTCATGATGGCGGAGCAGAGTGAGGACGAGTCTGTGGACAGCACGGGGGACGGCGGGGCCTCGCTGGCGCCCACCCACATCAGCGGGCTGGTCCTGGAGAACAGTGACTCCCTGCAGTAGGGCCGGGCGCCGGGACCAGGGGCGGACGGCCTGACTTTTTATAGTTTGCACAGCAAACATTTTACACAGTTTTATTTCTAATGTTTTATATGTAGATATAGAAGAGTGCACTTTTGTATTTCATAGTCAGCTTCAAGAGCGTCTTTGCCGGTGCAGCGACTTCTTTCAAGTGTGTTATGTGTGTGTGCGCGCATGTGTGTATGTGTGTGTGTTTTTTAAGGGAGTTCTTCAAAAGTTTAACGCTAAAAATGTGATGAATGACAAACACCCCCGTGAGCCTCTGATTAGATTAAGGACTAGTGCTGCCATTTTCTAAAAAATTATGCAGTTTTAATTTAGTTCTGTGGTTACAGCAGGTCTCGGTGGACTGATTATTGTGTGGCCCATGGCTTTGAAAGAAGCGTCTGCACCTTAGAGCTGCCAGTGTGAGGTGGACGACAACACACGACAATAAACTGAGTGTGACCTCATGGTGAATGTACGCGATTCAGATACGCTTCAGTTCTCTCATATTCTGTGAGCCTGTTTCGTTTGCTATATATAAAAAGAATCTCCTATTTTTACCTTGCTGGAATTATTGGATAAAAAGCTATTTTTATAAATTCGTTATGAATTGGATTATGACTATATTGAGGATAAAATTTCTGGAGAAGAAACAATACATGCTTACATTTCAATTTGGAGTGTTCTGGAGTGACCAAATTTAATGAGCCTGCCCAGAGTTAGCTAGCATTCCATGATTCTCTGCTATGCCAGGGTAGTCATTTACATTTACTACTATAAAAGAAAAAACTATTTAATGAAATTGTGATATCTTCAAATTTTAATTTATACGTAAATGCTCAGATTGCATTTTACACTTGATCTAAACATCTATCTAAAGGTATTTGCTAAATAGGACTTAGGAGAGTTGAGTGAAATGGTAGCCAGGGATCAGTTAAAAGCTCTTACATACACGTTTCAGTCTAATTTAAATTTGACTACAGTTAGATGGTTACTATACCATGTTAGCTGCGTATCATTCTAGAACTTTTAGTTAACCATATGTTATGCCTAGAATGTTTATTATAAACTAATATAAAATGTCCTCCATCCAGTTGGCTCAGAGCTCGGGTAAATGACACACTCAGCTTTGTTACATAATTAACAGACGTCCATGAAGTGACAAAGACGGACTGGACTGTGGTGACGATGTGGTGGCGAACCCTGCCGTCGGCCCATGCACGCTTGCTGTTGGCCCTGGCGTCGACATTTTCTCCTTGTACGTTGCTGCTTTGGAGTTTCCAGAGCCTTCCCCTCTGACTTGATCACAGGAGATTTGGAATAATTTCAGGACTTCCATTTCCTGGGGACAGGACGAACTAGAAGAGTAGACTGGGTTTTGTTTACTTCAGTTTGATTCGTTGTTATTTGTTTACTTGCAAGTGGGCTTTTTCTCAGAGAGAACACAGGCCCCCTGGCTTCACAGAGAAAGTCTTCACACAATCTTCAATGGGAGGCCCGAAGTTCAGGTGTTTCTGAAGGGTGGCTTCACGGTTGGGCAGGTCGTCAGCTCTTGAGATTCAGCAATAGTGATTCATTGTGGACCAAGGTTACATGGAGGGATATTTCGAGCTAGTGCAGATTTTTTTCTGGAACTGACCTTTTCTCTAAAATTTATTAATTTAAGTAAATCATAGGAGAGTACTTCCTAGATAACTTAGAAAGCAGCAAGAAATACATAGAAATTTCTTTTAAAACATTTCAGGAGCTTTAAAAGAAAAACTTTGTCAATTCTTTCTGGGGAGAGAATAACATTTTTAAGCAGCTGTTGCATTCCTTATTTATAAACAGTTTTTAATATTTTAAGTCAAGTCTACACGAGTTTAAATGAACATTTTAACTTTACCTAAATTCTAACATTGTTGGACTTCTTAAAACAAGGCCCTGTGGAAGCCAGCCAGCCCTCTTCCTTCTTCCCTCCCTCCCGTCCCTCGGCCCCTCTCAGCCGCCTGCCCTTCCCTTCAGGTTAGTGAGTGTTCACTGTGGACTCGTGCCTGGGTCGGTGTTGCGTCCCCACCCGAAATCCCCGTCACTGGAGGGGAGGTTGGTGGTTGAGGGCTGCACAAACATGTCGGTGTGGAGGCCGGGGTTGTGTCAGGTTCACCATCTGCGCTGGCCTGAGATGCCACCTTCCGTGCCCAGTGACGCAACGGCACTCTCTCCAGCTGAAGTCAGTCTTCTTGAGCCCTGAATTCGTGCTCACTACATTCGGAGGAACAGGATAAAGGTCATTCAGAGAGAGGGCACTGTGGACATAGCCTGAGGTTCCTTTCACCTCTTCCCATGACCAAGGTGCTTTTAAACAACCTTGACACGGCAAGCTCCAGCATATTTATGGTCAGTTTGCGCTTTATAAACCCCTGTTTTCCAGCCCTCGGACATTCGAGAGAATCTGTGAAAGTACGACCCCACTGAGTTTTCATTTTAAATGAGCAGATTCGATCCTGACTTTGCTCTTGTTAAATCCTTTCCTTATGAAGGATGCTCTTGAATGTGTTTCGAGACCCAAACTGAGCATGTTGTTGTTATCCCCGCTGCTCAGCTGTCGAGCAGAGAGCTGGACGGGCTTTGCCGTACCCCAGGCGAGCACCAGCTGACAGATGACCTCAGCTTTCAGGTTTGGTTTCCAGAGAGTAAAATAAGTTTAAGCGTTTGCCCAGGATGCACAGTAAAGTGAGCTGTGGCACCGGCTAGCTCACAGATCACAGAGCAGTGTTGCTGAAACACTGCACTGGAGGGTCCCAGGAGTCATTTCTGCATCACCTGTCGGATGACCCGACTCTTACCTGTGTGCGAGAGTGTGGGAGCACTTTTCTCTTTTAGACAAACTCAGACCTACCCGGAGATGTGAAGGGCCCGTCTCTGGCAGGTAGTGACAGAAATAACACAGCAATCTTCCTTGTTTTAGTTATGTTTGGTCTATGAACTGACAATCTTTAAAATGTGAATACTGTAACAATATGTTTTCTTGGATTGTTGTCTTTCAAAGGGATTTTTGTGAAGCAATTGATTTATCAAAGCAAAAAAATTAAAAACAGAAACATGCTTTATGGACGTTTTATTTTCCAAAGCTCATGTCACTGCAAGCTGCTTTTCCATCCTAAGTAAAACATGCAGGTTGTCAACATGTTTTCCTGGTGACACTTGGGTTCGTGGTGACCCCAGCACATTTTAAAAATTAGGATTGCACCGCACTGGAACATTCAGATTCATTTACGTTTTCAAGAATCTTCTCTTAAATTACTTCAGTTAGTCATTGGTTTTCCAGGAAAGAATTGGAAAGATTTTGTTTGTTTTTTATTTTAGTTTATCATAAGTCTAATAATTTTGATAGTAACGAGAAGAAAATGATTCGTCAGTAAGGTGTTACCTTTCGTAGTTCATATGGTGAAATCTCTGCCACGGCTGCTTCTGGACGGTGAGGAGCTACACTGAGACAGTGTCAGAGTTTTTTTCTTTGTAGTCCAGTGTGTTTTAACTCCCAAAACTGCTCATGCTTAGAGGCCAAAGTGAGTCAGAGACTTAACTGTTTTTAAAAAGTGCATCTAAAATTGTGAATCTTTTTGGAGATGAGGAGTGCCAGGTGTGACGTGTGTTGTTTCAGGAAATGTTCTGATTGATTTGACAGAAAATGGAGTCACTGTGTTGTCTCCCCAACTCCTTGAGGTCAGAGGTCAGAGGGTGGACTTGAAATTTAGCCTGGTGAGACCTTGGCCCCGCCCTTTACCCCTCTAGGCTTGAAGTGCTTCCTTTGTAGAAGGAATGAGTTGGTTTATAAGGTTTATTCTAGTTCAAAAATAATATTTATGACTAATAACATTCTATCTAGAGAGAAAGACGAGTAAATAGGTAATGATCTAGCAAATACTGAAAATAAGAAGTTTATTTGGATTAACTGTTGAGTGTTTTGCGTTTTGTGATATTATGCAGCTGTCCTAAATCATAGGTATTATGTTTAGCCTACATGCTGCTATATACACTCTAAGAAGAAATTCTTAGCACAAATTATTTTTGCCCTTTTACAATTAGATCCTCTCATCTTCGCTAAGACCTGAGAGCTCCATTCCATTTTTAAACTGAAATTTGCGGAACTACGGGGGGGGGATAGCATCTAAGCACACGCGGCTTAATGGAGTGAAGGCTGGTCCAGGAGGCAGTCCTGGGGACCTGAGGCCGGCTCTCAGTAAGCGCGCCCCCTCGTCACACGGACCCCAGGTCCGCCTCTGCAGAGGAGAGGGCTTCAGCCCATAAAAGCCGCTAACGACTTTAACATAAATCGGGAGTTCTTTTATCCCAGCATGTTTGAAAAAGAACATCTTGATGTCGATGGCTTTAGTTGCTTGCACATTTTTAGAAAACAGCTGGTAGAAAAAAATCAGGTATTTTTCAAAATATTTTGCTTTATGTTAACTCAATTTTTTTTCTAATATCTTAAGACCGCAATGGATCTCAGAAATAGTTGGGAAGCCCTCAATGGTTTCTGTTCTCCATGTGTTAGCATAGACCTGAGTTTTCAAACCAGAGTTAGAAGAGCTAGTGGAGCTGGAGGAAATCCACAATAGAATCGAGCCAGGGAAACCAAGAAAGGGTGTTTGAAGGAGAAGGGGTGTGTGGAGTCATCAGGCTGCCCCCCCCCCAACCAGGGGGTGACTGGGGTTTGATAAGAGCAGTGTCAGAGAAGCAGGTTCGGGCAGAGCAAGATGTCAGGAGTCAAAGCCGGTAGAAGACAAGGCAGGAAGTTATCTTTGTTACCTTGGGGTGAGGAAGACCTGTTAAGGCCCCAAATGCATAAATCATAGGACAAAACACTGGTGGATTTGGCCAAATCCAAAGGGAGGATTTCTGTTCAGTGAAGGACACCGTGGACTGTTAACAGTCGACAATCTGAGAGAATTTTCCTCTCTCTTTTTTAACATCTAAAGCTGACAAGGAGTTCATATTTAGGATTAAGAGAAATTCCTGGAAACCAAGAGAAAAATGACAGAGGATATTAAGAGGCAGTTCTCTGAAAGGAAAACCCACATGGCCAGTGAGCCTGTGAAGAAGTGCTGGGCCTCAGCATCCTCAGAGAGAGATAAATTAAAACCACAGTGAGATGCCACTCTGTCTATCAGGCAAGAGTTAGAAAGGTAGCATCGAGTATTTGTAGAAAGGGGGACCTTATACTGCTGGTAGGACAGTATACTCTCCCTTATACTGGGACAGCCTGTGCAGTCCCTCTGCCAGTCTTTAAGGAAATTAAGTATGCTCTATACTGGGTCCTGCCATCTCTGCCAGAGAATTCTCTTACAGGTTCAGGTGAGGACCTCCACTGAGATGTTCCTGGCAGCTTTGTTGGTGGTGGCAGGGAGTTACAGAGCACCTGGGTGTCCATGCCGAGGGGGATGGAGAAGCCTTTGTGGTGGCTGCATTGCTCTAGGTGGCCCTGCAGCAGCTGGACACTGGAACTAGATGACAGATGGCAAATGGGTCTTCTTGGGTCTGGTTCTGGTGACTGCTTTGTCTCTGGACAGTGGGTTGTTTGTTTCTTTCCTGCGTGTCTCGTAATTTGTGGCTGAATGCTGGGTATGTTTT